GGCCCGTTCGCTGGCGCAGGAATGTGGAGCCTCCTCCTGGGCCCAGAAGCTGCTCCAGGTGCAGGGAACCCTTCGTCCTTGGTCTCCTTGAGTGCAGGAGCAGCTCCGCAGTGCCCGGGACACCGCAGCTGCCGCGGCTGGATGGTGCTTTGGGGCCATGGATACTCCAGGGCTGTGGATACTCACTGGTTTTTCCAGCAGCGGTGCCCACCTTGCCTCATCCGCTCGGTCTTTTCTGTGTGCGCTGCTCAGTCGCGTTGCTCTGGCAGTTTTCCTCATGGAAATGCATTTTTACCTGATGTTGGCAGTGTGTTGCTGTCTTTCATGCACCAGGATGTGTTCTGGTAAAGTCCAGCCAGTCTGGAGACAACTGGTCCATCTCATTATTTGTTTTCCTTGCCTGGTTTTTAGTTCTGTTGACCCCAAGCTCAGTTTGATTTATCTTCCGAAGATGTCCCGAATGATCCTTCTTGTCGGGAATACGTGTTCCCTGCTGCTGGACGTGCTGCTCTGAAGTGTTCTGCTTGGTGTGGTAGCTCTAGATGTTAGCTTATTATTTGCTGCTCCACAACAGTTTTGCAGGCACTTGGGGTTGTTGCAAGCATCCAGCACAGCTCAGGAACGGGGGTTAGGATCTGCTTTCCACTTAGTGCCTCTGTGTGTGACCTCTGTTTGCCAGCTTAGAGTTTGGAAGCCTCTTCTGCATTCAAGGCTTGCAGTCAAAACATGTTTGTCCAGTAAAATAATAAATAGACAATAATAAGTAATAAGTAAATGGACACTCATTCAAACTGGTGCCTCAGATCCTCACCGCTCTGCAGGAGAAGGAGTTTTTCCTGGTCACTCGTTAGGAACGGGACAAGCACATGGGAGCGGGATGTCTTGGAGAGGTGCACTGTGAGGGTCGCTGGCAAAGCCTTGCTGTGCTTTGGTAGGTCCAAAATGCCACATTCTGGACGTTCCTGTTTTAACTGCTGCGTGGTGGAACGGCTGGGGGATGTTTGTCTGATGAGAACTATGCCTTGGGCAAGGGCATCTCCCATCCCGAGTGCTGTTTTGTTATGGGCCGTTGAGGGTGATGAATGTCCAAGGAGGGAGATCCCACCTCTGCTCTGGTCCTTATCCCAAGACTCTGCCACTCGTGTGTCAAGGGATTTTTTTTCCTCGTGTCCCAGCAGAATTGGCAACTCTTGCTGCAATATTCCCTGCTCTCCTGTGAGAACGGTGTAATTGTGTCCTCTCTGTAAACCCCTTCCCACAGGCGGTGGATGAGGTCCCACTCGTCCTTCTTCTCCGCAGGCTGAAGAGACCTGGATCCAGATCCCCAGATCTGCTGTAGCCCTCTGTCCGTGCTGGGCTTCTGGAGTCCATTCAGCTTGTCAAAACCTCTCTCTTTCTTATGCCACAGGGGATGCCATATCCTGATGTGACAAGATGTCCTTAGCGTCTTGTTCTAGTGTGTCCTTAGTGCTGACAAGAAGGTTTGTATAAAGTCTTGTTGCAGCCTCAGAGGCTCCAGCATCTCCTGTGCCCAGGGTGGTCACGCAGGGTTTTGATTTATGAGACTATTGCATGGCTTAAGTGAAAAACAGAGTCAAAGTTCAGAGCTATTATTCTTACAATTTTAAAAAAATAAACCAGCATAAACCCATCCCTCTGTAGTCACTACAAAAAGTTTGTTTTTCTTTTTGACTTTCAGCTCTGCAGACAAATAGTGCTTTACACTGTAGGCTGGACCTGTGCTTGTTGCTTTTTTAACGAAAAAAGGTGCTTTCCTCTCCAAGAAAATGAAATCATCCCCCAGAGGCACATAGGAGACAATCCCTTTGAAGGCCTGGCTTTCGCTGCTGACTTTCCTTTTGTTCCTCCAGACCAAAGACTTGGTGCTAACGAAGAAGACAGTGTAGTCCCAATTCACTCCAAGTGGGGCGAACTTGCAGACGCCAGTAGTGCAACCCCTCAAAGGCAGCCCTGCGTCTCCCGTGTCCCAGAATGACAGGAGACGCTTTGGATGTGGAACGGCGCGTGGCGATGCTGGGGATGCCCAGGCCCTCCCGCGCGCTGCGCCAGCCCGTCCCGTGCCTTCGCTGCTGGGTTTTTCACACCATGAAGCCGGAGGACACGTAGCAAAGGCTGGTGAGGTGCTCAAGTCTAAGCGGGAGTGCAGAAAATACTTAGTTCTCCTGAACTTATGGTAATTGTTCCCTTGAGGTCCCTATCCATTTTTTTTTCCCCGCACCACCTGGTGTTTGTCTTCTAAGTTGTGCTGAAAGTCAAAAAGAACAAATAAACTTTTTGTAGCGACTACATAGGGATTGGTTTACGTTGGTTTATTTAAAAAAAAAAGTAAAAATAATAGCTCTGAACTTTGACTCTGTATTCTACTTAAGCCATGCAAAAGTCTCACAAATCAAAATGCTGCATGAGCCAAATGGAAACTGTTCTAGAGCCAGGATGTGTCTGAGAAGGTTAACTCCTGCCTCTGGTGCTGCTTAAAAACAGCCTTCATCCCAAACAGCATTCTGCTTTAAACTTGGCAGCTTTTCCAAGAATCATCAATAATTCCACTTGTAACACTCCTTGTCTAAGAACCTGTTTCAGAAACCAAGCTCTTGGCTTGATTTCCTGTTTCACACACAGTTTTTTGGTGGCTGAGAGGGTTCTTTTGGGCAGGTCTTCTTTTCTTAAGCCAGGGCTTCTCTCTGGGGTTCTTCCCACTTCCCTATTGCTGGCAATTTGAGGTGACTAGTGGTGATTTAAGATGTATCAAACAAGTCATTGCAGACAAGGGCCTGAGCTTTATGGGCTGCAGGAGATGGGCGCTCAGGACCCATGAACCTGACAAGTGTTTGTTGCAGCCTGCTAAGAAACACTAGAATTGGACACCAGCTTAGGTTCGTAATGGAATTCACCCATGGAAAGTCCTGTGTCCTCCATGGAAAGCAGCCTGGACCCTGTGCCTGTGTAAAAACGCTCTCCGTCGCTTTTTGCTCTTTTGCTGCTGATGCAAATGGGAATTTGTGTAGCCACAGGCCAGGCCTCTCAGAGTGAACATGCTAAAGGCCTCTGTGATATGGGAAATCTCTGCTTATGGCATTCTCGTTTCCTTGGAATTTGTCCGATTTGTTCTATGGAATTTCATCCCTCTCCTAATCACAACCGCCTTCTAAATTTTGATTTCCTGTCATTCCACATATATGCACAGCGGGAAAAGCCAGTACATGTTCAGTCTTCATCTGCTTCTGTTTCATCTCTGCAAACCTCTTTATTTGCCGTCAGGTGTTTTGTCTTCACCAACTTGTGAGCTCAGGTAACATTTCAAGGACAATTCTCACAGCGAGACCTAATAGCTCTCTATCTTTGTAGCAGATGTCTATCTTAGTTTTTAGAGATTTTTCACCATACTGTGGTAATAGCGTCAGTCCTGCACAGCTTCTGCATGTTAAGGATGTGTTTTGTTGCAGTGTTTCTTAAGTTGGCTCAGTGAAGAGCGGAGTGGTAGTAATAGCAAACAACCAGAGATCAAGTTTGCATCCTTGGGGGATGCATTTAGAGTAGATTTGAGGGAGCAGCTCCATGAATTCAGGGCTAAGTCTCCCCGGAGGCACATTGGTGTCGTGCCCGGGGTGCCAGTGCTGCAGCGGCCCTGGAGGACGGTCGGGATTCGCAGCGGCTGCACGGAGCCGGCCCCGCAGCTGTCCCCAGCACTCAGAGCCCTCGCTCTGCGCAGCCCGGCCTCCAATTCTTTGCAGGATGCTTTGAAACCACCCGGAGCGCTTTCCAGAAACGTTGGCTGCGCGTTGCAGAAACGCTGACGCCGAACGTCCCCCTCGGCCTCGAGCCGCCGGCCTGCAGCCGGCGGGGGGCCCTGGGAAAGCGAACGCGGGGCCAGATGGCGGCTCTAAATTTAAGGGCTGGCTGCCGGGCCACGTATGTGCTAATGTGCCCTTTTGTGGACAAGCTAAAGATAATTTCATCGGTCGCTGCGTTATAAATTGCACAGAGAGTCCTCTGCGCTAATGAAGAGCAATCAGAAGAGCATGATCTGACTCAGAAGCTTGGGCAAAGGCCTGTGGCCCTGCAGGGGGACTGAAAAGAGGCCAAGCATTTGTGTAAGAGAGATTTTTGGCTTCTTGGAAAAATGAGTAAAGAGCACAGCTGCTACGCTGCAAATGTCAGTGGAGAGAATAGCAAAACTTCCTCCTCCCCTGGTTTAAACTGTAGGAAAGCTGGGTTTAAATAAAGATAAGTATTCTGTGCAAGAATCTGGCCAAAAAATGTAGACGCAGAGACTGTGCTGTGGATGGAGGGGAACTTCCAGCTGGAAGGTGGAGTTGAGTGCACTCGTGTGTTGTGGGTGTTATTTCAGGTTCTAGTATGTTTTTAGCCGTATTTTAAGCAAGCTGAGCTCACCGGAACCCCTGGAGCAGGAGTTTCCTTGGTTGCCCAGGACCGTGTCCCGGCGGCCTTTCAGCATCTCCGAGGATGGAAACTCCACAGCCTCTCTGGGCAGCCTGTGCCGGTGCTGGGCCACCCTCGTGATGAAAAAAAAAGTGTTTTTTTAGGGTGCAGGTGGAGCTTCCTGCATTTCAGTTTGTGCCGTGGCCTCTCAGCCTGTCAGGACAGCCCTGGGAAGAGCCTCATCCTCCTCACATGCCCCATCAGATATTGATATACCCCGAGGAGACCCCTCGAGGCTCCCCTCTGCCGTGGCCTTTTCCACATCTCTCGGAGCTGGCAGGGGTTCCGCTATGTGTGTATGTACATGTGCAGGGTTGCCTATGGCATTCTGCATCGAGAGGCTTGGCACTGAACCCTGGATTATCCCGATCCACAATTTAGTGCGTTTCTCCCATCCCTCTTCCCGGGGGACGGGCTCAGGTGCTTGGCTCGCAGCGAACACGCGTGCTGTCTCCGCTGTTCAGCACCTGCATTTAAACACATGTGCTGCATCCCAGTGTTTCCTGCACTCACTGTGGTGCTTCTTGTTTTTCACTGCAGGACCTGTTCCGGCATAAGAACTAGGTTTGCAAGACCCCTCTGAAGATGTCTTACAGAAAGGAGCTGGAAAAATACCGAGACCTGGATGAAGACAAGATCCTTGGAGCTCTGACAGAGGAGGAGCTCAGAAAACTGGAAAATGAACTGGAAGAATTGGATCCTGATGTAAGTCTTTTTTTTTTTTAAGAAGGATTTTCCAGATGGTAAAGCTGAAAGTTGGCCAAATGGGCTGCATTAGTGGCCTATATTTAAGTGGGATCTATTGAAATGTATTGAAGAGCCTGTACTCAGTGCACGGATGGAGGAAACCGGCCCCGGATGAACTGAAGCAGTTTGGCCATTGAGAGCACAAGTTTGGGGGTGGGACTTTGCTTTTGTGGTACTCCCCCATTTCCATTTTTTTTTTCCTGACTCAATCCTTAAATGGGATGTTGGAGCAAAAATTCAGCTGTTGCTCTATTGCTGGAGAGCCTCTTTTGCAACAGGGTCTCGGCCTGCCCTTGGGCTTCCTGCACCACCCGGATACAACTGTATTTTGGGAAGAGCAGTCCTAGTAATTGGGCACTTGCTTGGAACTTGCGGAGCACAGACCTCTGCTCCCGATCAGGTCATTGTGGAGGGGGTGTTTTGAGTTCCGCTTTTTTTTTCCTAATACTCTTTATTTAAGAAGCCTCGAGGGGCTTCACTTTTCGCCCACTAGGAAAAGCAAATCCCAGAATCCTGCAAAACAGGAGAGTAATTCTCCCACCAACCCCGCACCGCCTGCAGGCACCGGGTGCACGAGTGCCCAGCCACGACAGCAGTGCTGAGGGCAGTGCCCGTAGCAGGGGGTGCAGAGAGCCAGCTTGGGTTACAGCAGCGTTAGGCAATGAGGCCGGGCGCTGCCAAGGGAGAAGTTGTTCCCACAGCGTGGGGCTGGTGTCTCTGGGGAGAACAGCGGGCAGCCTGGGTTGCATCATCGGCGGTTTTCATCCCCAACGTCAACACTGAAAAATAGTTAGGAGGTGTCAAGCGATCTGCCAGGATGGAGTGTGTGCGCTGGGAGGCCGATCGCTGCCGCCTGTGGAGGCACAGCCAGGCAGCCTTCACGGAGGGGGACTGAAAGGAGACGGAATTGGCTCGTCTGCCAGTGTGCTGAATGCTGGAGTTAACATGAGAAGATGGCACCGTGGCTTCTCACGGCACAGCACCGAGGAAGCAGAGTGTTTCCTGTGGATACCTGCTTGTGTGTTGTGCATTAATTCCTTTTATTAGGCAGAAAAGGGAAAATCAGCCTCTGGCGCGACGTTGCCTTGGATGTCTTAAAAAATAAATGTTGCCTCCTCCCCAACAAAGCTCTAAAGAACACGCTTAGTGTCAAAGCTGGGAGTAGTCTTACTTACTGCATTAAGGCTGTGCTATATTTAAAAATAAGCAGGTGCTTACACGCTGTATGTGTCAGGCACAAAGCAGCTTCTCGTGGCGGCTCGTATGACTGAGGAGCGGGGAGGCATTTAGCAGAAGATAGGAGCTCCTCCGGGGGGGTGTTCTGCAGTGCAATTGCAGCCAGTCGGTCTGAAGCGACCTTCGCTATGAGAACTGTCCCATAGCTCTAGAAAAGCCCACGGTGGTTTTTAGAGAACACGGGGTTTCTCTGATTTGGTTCCTGCCAGGCCTGGGGTGTGTGTGTTGCCTGCTGTGGTGAGGCACACCGGCCCTTGGGCAGGCACGCAGGGAGGAGAAGCTCTGAAACATCAGCAGG